AAGGGATAGTAACGGGTCATAGATGCACCCGAGCAGTCTACATCGCCTACGAAAAATGTTGCCACCTGGCGGCACTGTCGAAACTAATGGGGCCAAACCATTGTTTCTGCATAGGCAAGTTTAGAATAACCTTGCAACGGGTAAAACCTTCCTATAATATATGGTTAGAGCTCCTGGATAAACCTCCCATTTTCATGTGCGTATTGTAACCTCTTCATGTTGTTAATATTGCCATTCTATCAGTGTTCTCATACATTTCTACCTCAAGGAGTATAATATCATTTGATGTTCGAAAATGTGGTTTCACGTCGATCACTTCCCTTTTCCTTCTTCTTCGGAAGGAGGTACAGTTATTGTATCTTAAGCGTAAGGAATAACATCGGATCTTATAGACACCCAAGCAATCTACATCATGTGCGAGAAGGTTTGCCACCTGACGGCGCTGTCGAAACTAATGGGGCCAAACGATTGTTTCTGCATAGGCAAGTTTAGAATAACCTTGCAATGGGTAAAACCTTCCTATAATATATAGTTACAGCTCCCAGATAAATCTTCCACTCTCCTGTACGTATTGTAACTTCTTCATGTAGTTAATATTACCATTCCAAATTGTGATCAGACCTGCACTTCTTAAACGCAACGCCATGGATACAGTACCTATTCGGAAGATCACCCATTTACCACTCCATGTGGCCAATTTCACCATTTGTGTGGTTTTACTTCCCACAGTATTCCACCCATGTCCCTACAGTAATTGTAACCAAATTATTTTTTTCCATGCTGGATTTAACTGTTAATTCCCACTCGTTGATTGCGCGATAACTCTGTGCTAAAAAAATATGGGTTTCCATATTTTATGAGTCCATGATATAGTTTATAAGTTTCTATGTCCAATCGATCGAGAAATAGTTTTCGTAGGGAGGTGTTTCCGTTAAACGACTCGGGAGAGAAAGAGGGAAGGAAGTTCATCCCGCAGTTCCCAGGGAGATTCCGAGGGATGTTCCCAGACCTACGACACTCATACAACCGCCCAAGGGAATTCGCATGAAATCCAAGTCCGAGAAAGTCCACCCCTAGCCGGCAAAGTTTCCTCGGGGAAGTTTTTGTCCCCCTTACTGCAGTCGTTTTATGGTTTTGACTGCCCTCTGATGGCACTTTAGGGAAATACAAGGAGGATCCTCCGAAGAGCCTATTGTGTATCATTCGCCAATAAAGCCGGTGCGGTTTGCTTGTTTATTCGCCGGCCACCCATCCGTCTCACATCTCGAGAGCTACATTTCCTGGGATAACACTCCTCTTCCTCGTGGTACGGCGACAACCCTTTTGTCGCCCTCGGTATTCAAATAAGGAGAAACTGGAGCACCCTGGTGGGATTACGCGTCGCGCCTTCGTCTGCTTTGGGATTCGCAGACGGAAAGATAATAGGTCCCCTTTTCTGTATTGTAAAACATTCGCGACCGGCAAATTTTTTCTGTAAGTCAGTCAGTCTCCGTGTTCCGTGCGCGACACTCATATATGTAAATTCATCGCGGACTTTGAAATGTCAAACAAATTCCCAGAAAGGGACTTACTGCCTGCTTGGAACCATCGGACCATTTACCAATTTAGCAATTTCCTGACTCCGAAATCGGTTCGTAAATTTTAGTTTTCTACGATACGGCTATATTGCCCCGTACGTCCCATCGAGAAAGTTTAGGGTTCTTTAGAATTTTCTCGGGTTGACCGTCTCTATTCTTTACCGTCATACCTTTTTTAACTTTACCGCTTACACGTGCGCGCAACATGCATACGGGCATACAGCATGTTTTTCCATCTGCACGGCAACTAGAAATTTTCCGTTTTCACCCAACCGTATTGGACAGCCACCGACCAATCACGAGGCTGACTATTTGATTTGAACCGCCCTTGTTAAAATCAGTCAGCCAATCGCTATGCAAGAAATATGCTACCACCTCCTCAAAAAATGTAATGCGACCGGAGGAGGAATTCTATATTTTTTCTGTAAGTCAGTCAGTCTCCGTCTCTCGTCAGCCTTCATCATCATCTCTGCAACAGTTATCGTTATTCACGCGTGAAGAGCTGACAAAATTCAATAAGTCATTCGTCTAATTAATATTATAATAAATTTAAGTTGTTTTGTTCGCGACAGTCTCACTCTTCATTCGGGTACCTTCCTTCTTCACGTGAGCAGTTGTATGAATATCCCATTTTGCAAATCTACTTGCAGAAACAATCGGGATTCGTACAACAACTGCCCGACAAACTAGCCGGGCAGAACACTCCGTCTCTCGCTAGAATTCAACGTCTCTCGTCAGCCTTCACCAACGCTTCTGTAATTGTTATCGATATTTACGCGTGAAGAGCTGACAGAATTCAGCACAGTCTCTCATCTCTCGTCAGCCTTCACCATCGCTTTTGTAACTGATCAGTATTCACGCGTGAAGAGCTGACAAAATTCAACAAGTCATTCGTCAATTTAATATTATAATAAATTCAAGTTTGTTTTGATCGCGACAAGTCTCATTTTATTCGGGTACGTTCCTTCTTTCACGTGAGCAGTTGTACAAATATCCCATTTGCAATTCTACTTGCAAAAACAATCGGGATTCATACAACAACTGCCCGACAAACTAGCCGGGCAGAACACTCCGTCTCTCGTCAGCCTTCACCAACGCTTCTGTAATTGTTATCAATATTCACGCGTGGAGAGCTGACAGAATTCAGCACAGTCTCTCATCTCTCGTCAGCCTTCACCGTCGCTTTTGTAACTGATCAGTATTCACGCGTGAAGAGCAGACAAAATTCAACAACTCATTCGTCAATTTAATATTATAATAAATTCAAGTTTGTTTTGTTCGCTACAAGTCTCACTTTATTCGGGTACGTTCCTTCTTTCACGTGAGCAGTTGTGCTGTTATGCCGCGAAGGGTATTGGGGTTCTCTTCGAAGAATTTGTATACTCCTTTTTTGGCATTTGGATGTGGTTCTTATTTATACACACATTAAATCACTGTATGACCTACGGTCCGACAGGCTCGGAGTTCGGAATAGGACTGCTGTTCTAAGTTTATGAACTTATCCCGTAGGGATGAGGGTTTCTGATTCCGTGGCGCCGGGCTCAACGGTTCTTTCCCATAGTCACCGGACTCCGTTGTCGCGGACGTCGGGATCTCTTCCCACGACGTATTTTGACACCATGCAGTTCTAAATGACTCTAGACTGACGGCATTACAGTACAAATATCCCATTTTGCAAATATACTTGCAGAAACAATCGGGATACGCACAACAACTGCCCGACAAAGTAGCCCGGCAGAACAGGGGCCTACTCGATCGAGCGTAAGGACAGACCGAGTAGTGCGCACGTAGGGCAGCCGGCGATAGGGATCTACTTGCAAATTAACTCGATCTATCTCTCGTTAGCCCGAGATCCCCAGGACGTCGAATACGCGTCCTCGATATCCTGCGGGACGATCCCGCGGAGATATCAGCTGGTCCCATCGAGTAATACCAACCCGCCGGTAATTAGGAGTCCGGGGTGGACATTCGCATCCATTGGTGTTGGTTGGCATCGGTCCGCGTCCATTCGCGTCCATTCTCATCCATTCGCGTTCATTCGGACCGTTCCACCCCCGGGAAACTCTCCGACCATGACGTAACACCTTGAGGAGGCAGGGAAAGGGGTTCGCCGAAGTGCAAGCCAGGATGCTTTTTGTCCTGTCCGGCCGGTAACAATGGCTGCTTCTTACGCGCCCCGGTCACCGTATATTATTAATTACTGTATTAATCACCGTCCATAAGCAATCTATTATGCATGGATAAGAGCGGGCACCCTTACCTCGGACGGCGGCCATTTTGGATCCCGAGGGACGCGCTGACCCTCGCTGCTGGCGAGTCTAGAAACTCTCGAGGGTGGATTCATGGATAATTCCTCTTGTTAAGTTACCATCTTTTCGATATGCGATTAGTATTAAGGTGAAGTGAAATCCCCTTTAAATCAGTCGATTCGAATACAACACTTTTTTTTAAGGGTATTAGACCAAAGATATTTTTTGTCGAAAAATGAAATTTCAAGAGCAGCGCGTTCTTCCTTAGAGCCTCCATAATCACGTGTTAAAGTTTTTAATAATTGGGTGTACCAAGTTTGGAGAAGAACGCTTTACATATATATAGAATGACCCTTTCATATCACCTCAAGGTGAAACGTCAAAATATTTATAAAGCTTTTCTCCAAAGGGGGGGCACCGAATCGTTGGGAACTTTAACACGTGATTATGGAGACCCTAAGGAAGAACGCGACGCTCATGAAATTTCAATTTTCTAAAAAAAGTTAGCATTTATCTCGGACAAGAACCAAAAAAGATTTTTCCTTTTTCGAAAAATGAAATTTCACGAGCAGCGCGTTCTTCCTCAGAGTCTCCATTATTATGTGCTGAATTTTCAAATGATTCGGTGCATTTCATTTGGAGAAAAGTTTTGTAAATATTTGGTCGTTTTGATATATATAACTATATGCACCGCGTCACATGAAACTTCAGCACGTAATGAGACTCTAAGGACCATAGGCTCATGAAATTTCATATTAAAAAAAAGGCATGTGACTGGTTCTAATGTAGGATAAATAAGAAAAGATTTTTCGATGAAATTTCATCAGCATCGCGTTGTACCTTAAGGTGATTGTGAAAGTGACGTGAAAGGGGTCTCGTTTATGAAACTTTTCTCCGAACTAGGTGTACCGAATCGTTTCAAGCTTTACGACGTGAATATGGAGGCTATAACGAAGGTGCGGAAACCCATGAAATTTCAATTTTTTAAATANATATATATATAATGGTTCATAACGCCTTAAAAACACGTTGGTCAGCGATCGATACCGTACAGGAGAGCCCGTTGCGCTTACTAAACGATTATTCGAGAAATCTGCCTATTGTCTAACATTATATCGATGTGCAAACTTGCAAAAAGAATAACAGTTTAGCTTTTTATCATCTTCTGTCACAGATACTTGCGCCGCCTGCATGCTGGCCAGGGTGGAGCAGGAGAGGTTGGATAGCCTGAAGTATGACCGAGCGACAATCTATATCAAATGCATAGACGATAGCGAAGACAACAAATCGGAGAACGACAGCGAGGTTAGTTCTGTTCTGTTTCTGTTTCTGTTATGGTAGTTTGCAGCTCCTATTTTGGCCTGCAGTATCCGTCGGGACACCGTAGCCAAGTCAATCTGTCAAACTGTTTTGGGTTATAACGTTTTATTTTAATGTTGTAACAGATGGTAACGTTTTTATCTTAAATGTTTATTAACAAGTCGAGGCACGATGATGGCTCGGCAAATGAAACTAACAACGCGCGGCAGGATTGCAAAAGAAACAGGGCTATCGCAATACAGAATGCTCGCATAAATCTTAAACCTCAAATCGCAAGTAAAATATAGAACTGTAGGTTAAATAATAATTCTTAAACCTCAAATCGCAAGTAAAATATAGATCTGTAGGTTAAATAATAAATCTTGAACCTCAAATCGCAAAGAATAAAATATAGATCTATAGGTTCAACTGGGCTCAATTCAAAGTATTCGATGCGCTCGATGCAGCACCTGTTTTGGCCTGTAGTATCCGTCAGGACACCGTAGCCAACTCAATCTGTCAAACTGTTTTGGGTTATAACGTTTTATTTTAATGTTGTAACAGATGGTAACGTTTTTATCCTAAATGTTTTTTAACAAGTCGAGGGACGATGATGGCTCGGCAAATTAAACTAACAACGCGCGGCAGGATTGCAAAAGAAACAGGGGTATCGCAGTACAGAATGCTCGCATAAATCTTAAACCTCAAATCGCAAATAAAATATAGATCTGTGGGTTAAATAATAAATTTTAAACCTCAAATCGCAAAGAATAAAATATAGATCCATAGGTTCGACTGGGCTTAATTCAAGGTATTCGATGCGCTCGATGCAGCTCCTATTTTGGCCTGCAGTATCCGTCGGGACACCGTAGCCAACTCAATCTGTCAAACTGTTTTGGGTTATAACGTTTTATTTTAATGTTGTAACAGATGGTAACGTTTTTATCCTAAATGTTTTTTAACAAGTCGAGGGACGATGATGGCTCGGCAAATTAAACTAACAACGCGCGGCAGGATTGCAAAAGAAACAGGGCTATCGCAATACAGAATGCTCGCATAAATCTTAAACCTCAAATCGCAAGTAAAATATAGATCTGTAGGTTAAATAATAAATCTTAAACCTCAAATCGCAAAGAATAAAATATAGATCTATAGGTTCGACTGGGCTCAATTTAGGGTATTCGATGCGCTCGATGCAGCACCTGTTTTGGCCTGTAGTATCCGTCAGGACACCGTAGCCAAGTCAATCTGTCAAACTGTTTTGGGTTATAACGTTTAATATTAATGTTGTAACAAATGGTAACGTTTTTATCTTAAACGTTTATTAACAAGTCGAGGCACGATGATGGCTCGGCAAATGAAACTAACAACGCGCGGCAGGATTGCAAAAGAAACAGGGCTATCGCAATACAGAATGCTCGCATAAATCTTAAACCTCAAATCGCAAGTAAAATATAGATCTGTGGGTTAAATAATAAATCTTAAACCTCAAATCGCAAGAATAAAATATAGATCTGTGGGTTAAATAATAAATCTTAAACCTTAACCCTTTGCACTCCGCTGTCCCCTCTCAGGGAACATTCAAGTTTATTAGTGATTAGGGGGAATTGAGTTATTTCAGCGCAACTTTTTGAGACATACATGTTTCCCTGAAGTTTTCTCTTGAAATGGCACAAGAAATCAAATCAAAATATCGTAAAATTACTAAGATATATACAAGAAATGTCAGCGGGTTTTGTGTCAGACGAGAACGTGAGAGGCATCCTACATCTTCTGCGGACAATAGATTAGACAATAAACTACATATTCCCGACGTGGGACAAAGAAAACGGGACTGCATTGTGTGTTCTAACAGGAAAACACCTGGTGGCAGGTGTCAAACAACTTATTATTGTCAAACATGCACTAATCAGCCTGCAATGCATATTGGGGAGTGTTTCAAAATTTATCATACTGTACAAAATTATAAAGAATAAAATATTGATTTTTTTGCAAATATACTTTCCTCGATTTCAACCAATTCATATAAGTCCAATATCATTATAATACGTTACTTACAAGGAAACATTCCCCAGTGTCCGCCTCCGATCTTATTGAGTTTCATATATGTTGAAGAACACAAAAATCTAAGAGACACGTGTTTTTTTATATCTGCAATGGTCCACATCTAAGGGGTGAAACAACCCCCCAAAGTTTAGCGAAAAATCGGTTTTTTAAATATTTTTCGTAGGAGGAGTGGAGGGATTTCGACGAAACTTTGTATAAACGTATTCTGTATAAGGACGGTGACAACACAATATTGTTCAGCAATGTTGCACCCCCTCAAGGGGGTGAACTACCCTTCAGGTGACATTTTTTTGTAATATCCATTAGACAAGCACCCCTACTTAAGTTCCACTTACGGGATGTGATTGCTCGCAAAAAATTAAGAAATACGTGTTTTTTTCTTTTTGCCAATAAACATTTACACATCGGTTGTAAACAATGAATGTAGGTGGTATTAGGGTATATCCCGACTACCTTTATTGGGTTATATCGTGACCAATTCATCGTACATAAGTCGTGTCAACGTGGTAATTCTTCAAAATGTCATTGATTTTCATAACATGCAATTATTTATAAATAAATTAAAAAATAGTTTCAGAGGCTAAAATTGTTTCGCAACGGATTCGACGATGCAGTCATCACCCGTTTCCAACTAGTAATACAATCTCCGTGGTGAAACGATAAAATTGGATTTACAATACCACCTACATTCATTGTTTACAACCGATGTGTAAATGTTTATTGGCAAAAAGCAAAAAACACGTATTTCTTAATTTTTTGCGAGCAATCACATCGCGTAAGTGGAACTTAAGTAGGAGTGCTTGTTTAATGGATATTACAAAAAAATGTCACCTGAAGGGTAGTTCACCCCCTTGAGGGGGTGCAACATTGCTGAAAAATATTCTGTTGTCACCGTCCTTATACAGAATACGTTTATGCAAAGTTTCGTCGAAATCCCCCCACTGCTCCTATGAAAAATATTTAAAAAACCGATTTTTCGCTAAACTTTGGGGGGTTGTTTCACCCCTTAAATGTGGACCATTGCAGATATAAAAAAACACGTGTCTCTTAAATTTTTGTGTTCTCCAACATATATGAAACTCAATAAGATCGGAGGCGGACACTTGGGAATGTTTCCTTGTTAGTTCCAAAATTATAATAAATAATACGAAGGTCTGTAAATGTATGTTTCTGCCGTAAAGTGGCGCTGAGTAGCTGATAGCCAACGTCCAGAATCGTTCGGAGTGCAAAGTATTAAATCGCAAAGAATAAAATATAGATCTATAGGTTCGACTGGGCTCAATTCAGGGTATTCGATGCGCTCGATGCAGGCGAAGAGGTTGGAAGGCCGTCGGAGGAGGTTGAAGGGCTGATCAACTACGGTCTGTAACAAACGTCGCCTCGATTATTGCTCAATCTTTGGATCCTTGGATCGTGAAGTCCTCCGCGATGTGCCCTGGACGAAGGTTGGCGGTCGACAGAGCGAGCGTTGACTCTCTGGTCTTACCGATGTTGTCGCACTCGAGAGACTACACGAACAACCCGGTAGAGGCCTCATAGATGGATTACAGACAATTGCGCGAACATTCAGAATTCCTTTGCTTCGTATTAGTTTGTCTTCATGAATTGTAAGACTGCTCTATGCGGTTGTTTCTTTGTGTGGTGACGCCGCGTTACCAGAACGTCTCCCGCGTGCTTTGTTTCTATGTAGGTTGTTCTTTGCACTGCACGCCAGAAGGCGAACAGCTCCTAGTAGTTCTGATTAATTGTTTTTAAACCAGACTTCTACTGGGATAAAGTGTACGGAGGGATGCAGCTTCGCGTTATGTTGTTCTAAATGAGAATCGAGGACTTCCTTCGTTCGTTGTAAAAAGCAGAGTGTCCTTTTGGAGTCCCGCAAGGACTCGCGGTGCCTCAGAAAAATGTTGCCGCGTTGTGGAAGGGATACAAATTTTTTCTAACTTTTACATGATTGGTTCGTTGGCGGAGATGCCCAAAAAAGTCGCCTCCCACGACTTCGGCAACCGGGGTAGCAAAAGGGTAGCCAGGTCGAGTACGGCCTGACCATGCCTTTGTAAGATCACGTACCGTCCAAGTGTATTTTTTATGGTCTTGTTTACCCAACCCTTCGCGAAAGTTCGGTTCCTTCGCATAAAGGAAAACAACATTTGGCGGCCAGATGCACACCGTGAGAAAGCGGAGAAAGTCAAAATTCCCAGGATGGTACGAGGTCTCGTGAAGTTATAACTATGTACTCTAATTACTACACGCATTTTTCTTACGGACGCAACATAGGTCTTAATATGTTGTTATGTTGTTTTGTTTTCGGTTTTGTTTGTTGTCTTGGATGTAGTTATTTTAACGGACTGGTTTTTGTTGTGTAGGTATTTCGTTTAAATCAAATGTCAGTTTATACAACGAGTTTTCCACGAGACCCCCGGCGATCGCAATGGTGCACGTCTTGCCGCCATTTCGATCGCCGGGAGAGTCCAGCGAGGTTAGTTCTCGTGTAATTCGATGAGTACTTCGAACGAGTGAACTAGATGAACGTGGGAAAGTGAGATTCGTAGAAGCGAAAAGGTACCTCTCGAAAAGGAAAGGTTATAACTCGAGCACCGCACGCTGGACAAGTCCGATGACAAGAATTGTCGACTCACCGAAACTCCTTGGGACCGGTCGGCCATCAGATTGATGGCAGCCGATAAGTAATTCGGCCCCCATCTGATTCGTCTCACAATAATAATCGTCATTACGTCTCTTGAGTGGTCCCAAGGTAGATGGCCACTTGCCCGTGGACACCTGCTTCACAATTTCGAGTCATTAGACCTCGTAGACCCTGAATGGACTGGGAACCAGGGTCGCTCATTATGGTGTTCAACGGGGTTAAGGGATTGGGTTTTCGATCCCAAGGTCACGGACCATTGCCGCGGTTCTCCGAGAGAACGTAGCAGGATGAAGTGGCCATCCTGGTGGATGATGGTTCGATTTAAGAACGGTGATTTGTTTCCGTTTCAGACCTCGGCGAAGAGGCCGAAGATAGAGAGCTGCAGACCCTCTAGGACCAGGAGGAAAGTGAAAGGATCCCACGAGCTGAAGGTCTCGTCGGAAAATACGTTGAAGGATCTGAAGGTCATGGTAAGTTTGCCCCTGGTCTGAATTCAAGGGAATTGGGGATGGTTGGTAGAGTTACTACCAGGGTGAAGGTTCATGAAGATAAATTTCCGATTAGAGCATGCGAAATGTGGGATGAGATGCTTCCATGGAGCTGTAACGTGTATCGATTGTTATAAAAATCCTTGTTAAACAATAAGAATCCTATGACAACTAACGAATAGTAATAATTCTAAAAGAACACGGGTAAATTTTAAATCAGGAATTTTCTGAAAATTGTGCTCCAAAGTGTAAAGCAAAAATTGAAAGGTACCAAAATAGAAAAGATCCTTGATATAAACGTAGGCGATCTGGAGTCGTAAATTTAGGGGTGTCGTGTACCTCGATCTATTGATTCCGCTCATCGGGAGGTCAGCAATGATCTCGAAACAAGAAACACCCTGATACGAGTCTGGTTCCTCGATAGGTGTCTAGAAAGAACCGATGCAACCGTTCCTCCGAGATTTGCCTCGCAGACCGCTCGGGGCGCATCTATGACTCAAAAACAAAGAAGCTCCTGATGAAATCCTAGCTACAATGTAGATTTCCTAGGAGTGGTCAGCCTAGGGGGAGCCGAGTACTCGGAGTTCCTTGTAGACGTTTTCATGGATGGTTCTCCAGTTGGTCGAGGCGGCCTCGGCGAACATCCGTCGACCTCGGGCCTGGGACGAGCCACCCCTGAAGCTCCCGAACGAAAGTAGTAAAGCATAGTTATGGCTGGTTAGCATATGCGGGCCCTGGGAGTGTGCTTAAACTATTAAGCGTATTTATATTGCGAGGCCGGGGCCATCTCGCGGGGCCACCGGCAAAAACCCGAAAGAGCATAAACCTCGCACTAATAACAGGCCTCTGACTCCACTTCACTCCACTCTGGTGCACTCGGCCCGGCTCGACTTGGCCCGACTTGCCTCGACTTGACTGGACTCCGATACTCTCTACTCTACTTTACCGGCCGGCGTTTCTTTTCTTTTTCCTTTCTTTCCCTTTCCTTTTTTTCGTCTTCTTCCGTACCCCAGTCCGCTTCTCGGGTTTTAATATCTTCTCCCCGAGAAAGCCTCAAAGCCTCGAAGCCTCGCCAGCGTCAATGGGAGGGCAGTGCGCCTCTCCTGAACCGCTCACTCGGGGGAACATTTGCCTGGGCTTGATGTCTCTTCTAACTTCCAACTGGAGCCTCCTCCGTTCCTGGAAATTACTTACTCGGGGATCGGATTACCGGGGAATGGATTTTTAACACCTTTCTCCTCCACCTTTCGTTAACAAAGGCGGGCTCGTGTATGGTCTTCGCAATTTGGTTATCCGATGCGATCTGTAGCGTCTTTTCCTAATGTTTCATTGTGTTTTAATAGCTGTTTGGATCTTGCTATCCTTTGCTTGGAACAGAATCTGTAGTCCAACAATGAGCCACTTCTTGAGCCAAAGGGTTTCCGAATTCCGTTTCCCATATTTGTGTTTATTTGCATCTTAAGTGTTGACCGTTTGGACGTCAACGTCATTGCAATTGGGACTTACTCGTGGATCGGATTACCGAGGAATGGATTTTTAACATCTTTCTCCTCCACCTTTCGTTAACAACGACGGGCTCGTGTATGGTCTTCGCAATTTGGTTATCCGATGCGATCTGTAGCATCTTTTCCTAATGTTTCATTGTGTTTTAATAGCTGTTTGGACCTTGCTATCCTTTGCTTGGGGCAGAATCTGTAAGTCCAACAATGAACCACTTCTTGAGCCAAAGGGTTTCCGAATTCCGTTTCCCATACTTGTGTTTATTTGCATCTCAAGTGTTGACCGTTTGGACGTCAACGTCATTGCAATTGGCAGCTAATGTCTTCAGGAGCAGTCTCGAAAATAAGGCTGAACCACTAAACTTTCGAAAATTAAGTTCAGTAGGTGTCTCCATTGTTTTAAGAATCGGTTTAAGAAGTGTGAAGTCAAACAAGTCTAAGGAGTGCACAAGGACACGCATCGGATTGACCATGGAGACTAGAGATCAGGAAGACGAAGACAATGTTATAGAAGTTTCCTCAAAATCAGATACAGATCTTTGTTAGGTGGTGCCACATTCGCTTAGGGACCACTACTTGAATAAAGCGCGGACATGGATTTAAAGACATACATTTGCAACACAATTACATTGTCCAAATAAATTAAGATAAAATATTCAATGTATATTTTATCCATAAAATATTTTTGTGAGCATTTATTTGTGACGTATGGAAGTATTGTAATTAAAAACAGTTTTGGCTCAGGTAGAAAAACGGGAAGTTTGCCGAGTTTTCAATTTGACAGGTCTCCAGCGTTGTCTGAGATTCACAAGACTGCGTCCTCCATGTTGGTCCTTTAGCGATAGCGTTGCCACCTACAAAAAAAATGTCAAACAATGTTCTGTATCCTTTTTCCCGGACACGAGCTCCCATAAGGGACCCCATGCAGTCTCTGGTCTTCATGGGATTGACTCTAACAGGAGAATCACATCTTCCGGGATGGTTCAGCCCGAAGCAAAGATCGGGGGACTTCATGGTCGAGTGCGAGTCGCCTGTCGAGCCAGAAAATCCTGACAATAGCAGCTCCTTTTTCTGACAAACGGCCTTACGCAATGCCGGCAATCGTCCAAACGGCGGGTCCGGTGTAAATATTACTTTCTACCACATTCCGCGAGAGTTCTTTGCCTCCGAGGTCCCCGTTGGTGTCTCGCAACGAGCAACCAGCAACGAGTAGCTCCAGGGGAAAGGAAGTCCCTTGAAAAAGTTCCTTAACCCTTAAGCGATTTCTCGGCCTTTAAGGGCCCTCCTCCGTTTATCGCTCCCTCGTTGCCGGCGCAGTCTTCCACACCCAAGAAACGAGGCCCAGGAGAAGCCGACGAGGTTCCTTGACCTCATCTCGCTTCTCCTGGACCATCGAAGACCGGCAAGTCCTTGCATTATTCGTCCTGAGCTAAACTGTTCCTTGTCCACGGTCTCGATGTCAGGTCCGACCTTATCCCGTCATTCTATTCCATCGGACATCTCGAAAAACTTGGATACGAGACCATGGAATTATCAAGAGAGAACAGCAGAGGCTACTGTGGAGCTGATGTCTCCTTAACGACGATGGGGTAGTTTTTAAATGAGGTCCAAAAGATGAATGATTCATTTTTAAGACGATGATCCGGACCGTGACTCCTGAAAAAGTTCACCATGTACAGGGATCCTGACTACAACGTTACGTTACACTTTTTCCCAGGACGTTGTTCAATGAAATAATGTTCCAGTCTCCAGCTTGTAAAGTTCTGTGAAGTCAGGTTAAATGCAGATCTAAATATCGGATCATTTTTTACGTGGATTGTTGGAAACTTCGGGTGGTTCTCCAGGCCAGATTAAGGATGATCTGTTACGTTACACTTTTCCTAGGACGTGTTCAATGAAATAATGTTCCAGTCCCCAGCTTGTAAAGTTCTGTGAAGTCAGGTTTAATGCAGATCTAAATATCGGATCATTTTTTACGTGGATCGCTAGAAACTTCGGGTGGTTCTCCAGGCCAGATTAAGGATGATCTGTTACGTTACACTTTTTCCCAGGACGTTGTTCAATGAAATAATGTTCCAGTCTCCAGCTTGTAAAGTTCTGCAAAGTCAGGTTAAATTCAGATCTAAATATCGAATTTTTTACGTAGATCGTTGGAAACTTCGGATGGTTCTCCAGGCCAGATTAAGGATGATCTGTTACGTTACACTTTTCCTAGGACGTGTTCAATGAAATAATGTTCCAGTCTCCAGCTTGTAAAGTTCTGCAAAGTCAGGTTAAATTCAGATCTAAATATCGGATCATTTTTTACGTGGATCGCTAGAAACTTCGGGTGGTTCTCCAGGCCAGATTAAGGATGATCTGTTACGTTACACTTTTTCCCAGGACGTTGTTCAATGAAATAATGTTCCAGTCCCCAGCTTGTAAAGTTCTGCAAAGTCAGATTAAATTCAGATCTAAATATCGAATTTTTTACGTAGATCGTTGGAAACTTCGGATGGTTCTCCAGGCCAGGTTAGCACTAGAACTACCAAAACCAGTCAAAATAACTGATTTCAAATGGCCCATCCAATACAACAAAATCCTCCGGTAATTCTAGTGTTAAGAATGATCTGCGTTACGTTACACTTTTTCCCAGGACGTCGTTCAATGAAATATTGTTCCAGTCCCCAGCTGGTAAAGTTCTGCGAAGTCAAGTTAAATTCAGATCTGAACGTCGAATTTTTTACGTAGATTGTTGGAAACTTCGGGTAGTTCTCCAGGCCAGGTTAGCACTAGAACTACCAAAACCAGTCAAAATACCTGGTTTCAAATGGCCCATCCAATACAACAAAATCCTCCGGTAATTCTAGTGTTAAGAATGATCTGCGTTACGTTACACTTTTTCCCAGGACGTTGTTCAATGAAATAATGTTCCAGTCCCCAGCTTGTAAAGTTCTGCAAAATCAGGTTAAATGCAGATCTAAATTTCGGATCATTTTTTACGTGGATTGTTGAAAACTTCGGGTGGTTCTCCAGGCCAGGTTAGCACTAGAACTACCAAAACCAGTCAAAATAACTGGTTTCAAATGGCCCATCCAATACAACAAAATCCTCCGGTAATTCTAGTGTTAAAAATGATCTGCGTTACGTTACACTTTTTCCCAGGACGTCGTTCAATGAAATAATGTTCCAGTCCCCAGCTGGTAAAGTTCTGCAAAATCAGGTTAAATGCAGATCTAAATTTCGGATAATTTTTTACGTGGATTGTTGGAAACATCGGGTGGTTCTCCAGGCCAGGTTAAGGATGATCTGCGGCCGCTGGTCGCTTCACCTGAAAACAGCTTAACCGGAGATCCCGTGTTGTGTGTGCACTTCTCCTCGTAACGTACTTACGCCTCTTGGCGTGCCCGGCTCGTAAAACGAAACTGAATACGTTTACACCGACACATGCATCGGCCACGCTTAAGCGCCGGCTTCACCGACGTGGTTTCACAAATTAAGCAATTACCGGACGCATGCTCGGCAAGGTCCCGGATGGGACTCGAACGCCGCTACCTTCTTTCGGTCCAATAAGCCGGCAAAATTACGGACTCTCATCTAGGAGCCTCTGGACAAGCCTCCGCTCCCCAAACACCCTTGGAAGCACATTCCAAAGACTCCGGGATATTATCCACATCCGAGAAGGTGTCGTTTTGACCCCATGTAGACCCCATGCGATTGCATCCTGCACCCGGCGAGGTGATTGCAACTTTGCACTTTACTCGGTCGAGATGGAGAAAAATGTTTCGGACGAAAGTTGTGAATCACGATGTGCCTGAAGTCTTTTGTATGAAAGATTTTTTGATATCTCGCATTGTTACGGTGTCGTTTTGACCTCATGTAAACCCCATGCGATTGCATCCTGCACCCGGCGAGGTAATTGCAACTTTGCGCTTTACTCGGTCGAGATGGAGAAAAATGTTTCGGACGAAAGTTGCGAATCACGATGTGCCTGAAGTCTTTTGTATGAAAGGTTTTTTTATATCTCGCATTGTTACGAGAATAATAGAGAGTGTACGTCAAGCGGTAATGGAGATGTTGTGAACACCCTAGGGCCTAGGCGGACGATGTGTTTGTTCGTTCGTTGTTAGAATGTTTTCCATAACTTCTTTCGTACTCGTAGTAACCGAAAGACTATGTTTTAAAGAAACTTTGAAGCCTGTTTTTTTTCTTCTTACTTTAGACGATGCAGATCTGTGGAGCAGGTCCCTACGATCAACATCTAATGCTGGGGGAACACGAGTTGACGGATCATAGTCAAAGTTTGGCATCTCTTGGGATCTTCCCTGGTTCTCTACTCACCCTGAAGGTAGGTTAAAGTATTTTTGCATGGACTCGTACACATGTACGAACATTGAACGAAAAAGTTACGTTTTAGAAAAAGGACAATTCTTGTGTCAGGCAGATTATTACTCGCTATTCTCAGCAATGCAGGGTTCAAATCATTTCCTTTTTCATTCAGTTCAGCTTAACCAAGCTTTATTCGCTATCATTAGATTTTCTACATACAAATGTTTTAGAATGATAAATTGATTCACTTTAAAGAGTGATTCGCAACAGTTAATAATATTCTGCTACCAAACAAGAATTTCTTCGACTTACGGTACGAATGATTTTTTTCTTTCAAGTCTGATAATGAACTCATTCTTGCATCAATTTCAAACACTGTTTATTCGCCGTTTATCATTTTTCATATTATGTATTCTTCCATTAATATTTTTCATCGTCGAGTACAACTTCCATTAATATTCTTAATATTTAAAACAATTATATATGCAGAATTATGTTTACAAAATTATTTTTTGCCATCATTTCGCATTCCAACAGTGGTGATTCCTCCAAACTCAATTTCGTTGAAACCAAGAAATATTTAAATTACCGCAAGTAACTAATTTCCCTTAGGATGTATATTTTTCGTTCAACATATTTAACGTTACCTCGAAGCAAAGATTTAGAAATCCAATATTTGTATGAAACTTTTAAGGGGATGTGAAAGTGGCGTCGAAGAGGTCCGTTTATAAAACATTTGATTGAATTGAGAGTATCAAATCGTTTTAGACTTTATTATAAAGTGAAATTTCATGAATGCCAGGACCTTCCTCATAGCCTTCATATTTTTATTGTAAAGTTAGAATCGATTCAGCACACCCAATTCGGAAAAAAGTTTCATGAACGACTGATGCTACTTTCACATCCCCTTAATTATGTTAACTATAATTAAATGAAATTATTGAAGGGGGGAGGCAATAGTGCAACATAATAGAATATGAAGGATAAACCGCGTTAGGAATTGGTACCTGTGGCGTTGGACAATTATTAACGTAGAATTATGTTTGCAAAATTATTTTTTATCACCATTCGACTTTGCAACAGTGATGATTCCTCCAAACTCAATTTAATTACCAAGAAATATTTAAATTTCCGCAAGTAACTAATTTTACTTAGGATGTACATTCTTGTGGCGTCGAAGAGGTCCGTTTATGAAACATTTTATTGAATTGAGTGAACCAGTTATCCGATGCGATCTGTAGCATCTTTTCCTAATGTTTCATTGTGTTTTAATAGCTGTTTGGACCTTGCTATCCTTTGCTTGGGGCTCCCAGGATGGTACGAGGTCTCGTGAAGTTATAACTATGTACTCTAATTACTACACGCATTTTTCTTACGGACGCAACATAGGTCTTAATATGTTGTTATGNTGGCGTCGAAGAGGTCCGTTTATGAAACATTTTATTGAATTGAGTGAACCAAATCGTTTTAAACTTTATTATAAAGTGAAATTTCATGAGTGTCAGGACCTTCCTCATAGCCTCCATATTATTATTGCAAAGTTAGAAGTGATTCAGCACACCTAGAAAAGTTTCATGAACAGTTGATGCCACTTTTACATCCCCTTAATTATGTTAACTATAATTAAATGAAATTATTGAGGCAGGGAGGCAATAGTGCACCAGTAACTAATTTTAATTAGGATGTATATTCTTGTGGCGTCGAAGAGGTCCGTTTATGAAACATTTTATTGAATTGAATGAACTAAATCGTTTTAAACTTTATTATAAAGTGAAATTTCATGAGTGTCAGGACCTTCCTCATAGCCTCCATATTTTTATTGCAAAGTTAGAAGCGATTCAGCACACCCAATTCCGAAAAAAGTTTCATGAACAACTGATGCTACTTTGACATCCCCTTAATTATGTTAACTATAATTAAATGAAATTATTGAGGGGGGGGGAGGCAATAGTGCAACATAATAGAATATGAAGGATAAACCGCGTTAGGGATTGGTACCTGCGGCATTGGACAAATTCGACAAACTGCGAGCATTAGCATTACATAAACGATAGAAACGAGCATATCTTGCGCCTTAGTCACCGACTGTACCTGGGAAAAAAAGTGCTCGGTGTGGTTGGGATAAAAAGTTAACAATAACTCGCTCGCTCGCCGCTCGAGTCGGCCGCAAACCGCGGATTTACAGTCGCGGCCCCATGGACAATTATCCCGACTCTCCACTATTCCCAACCAATTCTTTGCTATCCCGAGCCGATTCCTGAACACTTCGAATCGACCCTTGAACATTTCTGACCGATTCTTTTTAATTCCTAGTCAATTTTTCCAATGCAATATTCCGAATGGACTTTTTTGACTGTTCCGAGGCGTTCTCCGTGTATCGATATTCACTGGTATCGAGAGTGTCAAGACAATTCTACGCACCTAGGGAAAACATTGAAAAATGCGAAATTATCCATCCATAGACGCACATAGTTGGTTGTTATTTAATGTATTTGGCGCGAAACCGCATAGAGTTTCCTGAATAATTATTACAAGCAAACTATGCTCTGTAGAAAAAGAAATTTCATAGGACTTTCCGACTCCATATTCAGGATGGATAACGATGTGGGCATGACTTTTCCTATACCTTATATCTGTATTATTATCCAACGTCGCGTGAAGCAAGAATAGCTGAAATCCCGACACTTGTTACAACGACTCTGCAAGGATTTGACGTGAAACCGTACAGTTTCTTGATTGATTATTACAAGCACACTATGCACAATAAAAAAAGAGATTTCACACGACTTTCCGACTCCATATTCAGGAAGGATAGGGATGTGGGCATGACTTCTCCTATACCTTATATCTGTATTATTATACAACATCGCGTCAAACAAGAATAGCTGAAATCCCGACACTTGTTACAACGACTCTCCAGTTATTCAGAGTTTCTTGATTAATTATTACAAGCAAACTATGCTCAGTAGGAAAAAAATTTCGCAGGACTTTTCGACTCCATATTCAACAGGGATAACGATGTGGGCATGACTTCTCCTATTCCTTATATCTATATTATCATACAACATCGCGTCAAGCAAGAATAGCTGAAATCCCGACACTTGTTACAACGATTCTGCAAGGATTTGGCGCGAAACCGTACAGGGTTTCTTGATTAATTATTACAATTAAACTATGCTCTGTAGAAAAAGAAATTTCGCAGGATTTTCCGACTCCATATTCAACAAGGCTAACAATGTGGGCATGAACCGTGGGGATAAATTCTCCTACACCTTATATCTAAATTATCATACAACATCGCGTCAAGCAAGAATAGCTGAAATCCCGACACTTGTTACAACGATTCTGCAAGGATTTGGCGCGAAACCGTACAGGGTTTCTTGATTAATTATTACAATTAAACTATGCTCTGTAGAAAAAGAAATTTTACACGACTTTCCGACTCCATATTCAGGAAGGATAGGGATGTGGGCATAAACCGTGACCATGACTTCTCCTACACCTTACGTCTATATTATCATCCAACATCGCGTCAAGCAAGAATAGCTCAGATCCCTACACTTGTTACAACGATTCTGCAAAGATTTTGCGTGGAACCGTACAGAGTTTCTTGGTTAATTATTACATGCGAACTACGCTCCGTAGAAAAAGAAATTTCGCAGGACTTTTCGACTCCATATTCAACAATTATAGGGATGTGAGCCTGAACCGTGGGTATGAATTCTCCTACACCTTATATTATCGTAAAACATCGCGTCAAACAAGAATAGCTGAAATTCCGACACTTGTTACAACGACTCTCCAATTATTCAGAGTTTCTTGATTAATTATTACAAGTAAACTATGCTCAGTAGGAAACAAAATTTCACAGGACTTTCCGATTTCATATTCAACAGGGATAACAATGTGGGCATGAACCGTGGGCATGAATTCTCCCACACCTTATGTCTATATTATCATCCAACATCGCGTCAAGCAAGAATAGCTGAAATCCCGACACTTGTTACAACGATTCTGCAAGGATTTGGCGCGGAACCGTACAGAGTCTCTTGATTGATTATTACAAGCAAACTATGCTCAATAAAAAAGGAGATTTCACACGACTTTCCGACTCCATATTCAGGAAGGTTAGGGGTGTGGGCATGGACCGTGGGCATGACGTCTCCTATACCTTATAATTATATTATCATACAACATCGCGTCAAGCAAGATTAATTGAAATCGCGACACTTGTTACAATGACTCTCCAATTATTCAGAGTTTCTCGATTAATTATAACAAGCAAACTATGCTCTGTAGAAAAAGAAATTTCACAGGCCTTTCCGACTCCATATTTAGGATAACAATGTGGACATGGACTGTGGGCATGAATTCTCCTACACCTTATATCTAAATTATTATCCATCATCGCGTCAAGCAAGAATAGCTGAAATCCCGACACTTGTTACAACGATTCTGCAAAGATTTGGCGCGGAACCGTACAGAGTTTCTTGGTTAATTATTACATGCAAACTACGCTCCGTAGGAAAAGAAATTTCACAGCACTTTTCGACTCCATATTCAACAATTATAGGGATGTGAGCATGAACCGTGGGTATGAATTCTCCTACACCTTATATTATCATAAAACATTGCGTCAAGTAAGATTAGCTGAAATCGCAACACTTGTTACAACGACGCTTCAATTATTCAGAGTTTCTTGATTAATTATTGCAAAGAAACTATGCTCAATAGAAAAAGAAAATTTCGCAGGACTTTCCGACTCCATATTCAGCAGGAATAACAATGTGGGCATGAACCGTGGGCATAAATTCTACACCTTATATCTAAATTATTATACAACATCGCGTCAAGCAAGAATAGTTAAAATCCCGGCACTTGTTACAATTCTGCAAGGATTTGGCACGGAACCGTACAGAGTTCCTTGATTAATTAATACAAGGAAACTACGCTCCGTATGAAAAGAAATTTCGCAGGACTTTTCGACTCCATATTCAACAATTATAGGGATGTGAGCAT